TCTAGAAGAAAAGGTCATCCTTAATATTTTTTTTTCCTTAATTTTGGTAATACAGTATTATCCCCATTGCAGTAATATAGCAACACCAAAAGCACTTCACATGAACAACTTGCAACCCAACAGTACTGTCCAAAATAGTTATAATTTAAGGTTGAGGGGTTTAAAAATAATAACTACCTGCTTTGGCTAGAAATTTACTTTTACAACATTCTGACATAATGCCAAGTTTCCATGCTTAGTCAACAACGTAATGACCACCCTTAGTTGCAACAAGATCAAAAGACTTTAGATGGATACACCTGTGGGAAATACTATTATGCTCATACCTCCTTACATATGAAGTTACATTGCACACGGAGTTCATATAGCCCTAATACTGTTCGGCAGCAGTTCTCCAAGATCTGTAGTTGTGTTTTGTTTTTTTTCCCCCATGGCAGCCTTACTACTTGACTCCTATGTGTAAGATGGCTGGAAATTATGCCATTAAAAAAATCCCTTTCCAGATTTTAATCCCTTCCTCTGCTTTGGCCGTGTAGATGGGCTTGTATTTTCTTACTGAACCACACTTACCATGGGTCCCAATTGGAGGTTTCCCTTGCTTGTTTTTTCTCCCTATGTCTGGAAAAGCAAGCACCAGTCACTTTTCTTTCCCTTGGTGGGTATGTAAAGACATGTGGATTCCACTGATAGGCCTTTTGTATGAGCCCCCCCCCTTAACTTCAACTCCTGTACTTGATACTTTCCCATCTGATTCCTCTACTCATGGACCAGTAAAAAACAAATAAACCACCATGGTTCTATCATTCTTATCACTTGGGCTAAAAGCTGGGAGAATTCTTGTCCATTTCATCTGATTAGAAGATAAGAAAGCTCCACCATTTCGGTGTTCCTTCAATGAGCTTGTAAAAGCAAGCAAACATCACCAATTTACATTTGTTCCTGCCACCAGAGATATAAGGGGAAACTAGCAAACTCTAGTCAAGTTCACTTGGTTGAAAAAAAAAAAGGTCCACCTTTAATGATTCCATCTGTGAATTGTTTAAAAATGCCTTAGCCTTTCACATTTCCACTGGTGAACTGGTGTATGGGTGTGCTTATGGGGGGTTCGCACACATACACAGACTAAAAAGCCCAGCCTTTCACCATTCTAGTGGTCCAGCAGCCTAGGATGAAATGGTCACAGAAGGTAGTAACCAGTGACTGCAGGGGAGGGGGCATTCCTGCCACAGAGCACACAATAGCCAAATGGAGTAGAGGGGTTTGTCTGCAGTATAACGAAGCACAGCAAGCAGACTGGTTGCACCACTTGAATAAGTTGAAAATCACTCCTTTAGGCATGTAACAGGAAAAGATGGGCAGAAGTTGCCTTCCTGGGTGGGCTGAATGTATGTTGATTCCTGCCCTTAAGAGATGTTAATGGCCTGTCCTTGCCCTAGGGCAAACTGATTGTGCAGATCAGCCTTTAAGGATCCTTCCAATTGGTTTTCCAAGAAACTTTCATTTATAGATGCCAAGGATACACGCCATAAAGGAGTGACTAAAGTATATTATGAATTATATTTGTGATCTTGCACGTACTGCATAAAAACAATGAAATCCTTCATTATTTCAGCAAAATTTGCACATGGATCAAAATAAAAGTTCACAATGTTCTTCTGCATATACAGTAAGTCTATTTTTCTTTTCTAGGGCTATTTGTTTTGTTCTCTCCTGCTAACTAACTCCTAACCCCACCATTTGCCTCTTTTAACTTAAGGTCCCATTGGTTGGGCTGGTTGGTTTAGTCCACAGGCCAGATATTTCATCCTGCTCTAGTGGGAACATACTTTTAATCAAGACAAACTTTTCTAATTTAGGCACCTGTTTCACTCCTCTTGTTTGATCTTTTCATCCTACCAACTAATCAATGTAGTTAATTAATATAGTTTCAGTTGTGTTCCTAGGACTTCGCCAATTATCTCACTTTTTTCCAAAATCCTTATATTGGCTTTGATCAGTTATGACTAATAAAGATATGTTTTTAATCTTGGCGTTCCATCTCTCTCTCTCCCTCTCCCTCTCTCTCTCCCTCTCCCTCTCTCTCTCCCCCTCCTCCAAAAATATACCATTGAGAATAAAGCCTAGGATAGAAATGATTAGTACAGATGACAGGGAGGAGTCATATTTTTAAGCATTTTTGTTATTACCGAGTTCCTATTTTTTCTCCCACCAGAGGTACCTTGACTTGTTCCTATCTCTCTCACTCGGAGCAGCTGTCCTTTGAAAAGTATCAGTATGTGGATTGCAGAGACAATGTTCTACTGTCTTGATTCTGGAATCCCTCATGGCTACAATGGAGTCCTGGAGGCACTTCTTTTCTTCAGTCTCCTTCAGTGAAATTGCAGTAGCATGATTTTCATGCCTCCACTGACTTGTGGAGCGGGGAGAAGCAGAATCTGTGATTCCTTGTTGCCAGTTCTGTGAAACAGGAAGGTGGCTGTGGTAGGACATTCCTCTTAAGATAGCATGGAATGATGCTGATGGACCAGTGGTGTGCTAAAAGAACAGCAGAACTGCACTGGACTGCAGAAAAGAGAATGCAAGAAGAGCATGCTAACATGGGACAGTTATACTGCATATTGGAATTTGAATGGACTTAGGCTGCACTGAGCACTAGCTGGTTGCTGAATTTGCACAGATATTGTCTATTTTTTGGAGGTTGCTGCCTGGAGCTGGGGTCTAAACACAATTAACCTTGTCACTGTAGACTTGGAGGGCCTGGAGCTGATCTGAGGCCTTCTCCTTTTTCCAGATCTATCTTCCTCCCATACCCATACAGCAGGAAGAAAGCTTGAACTTTTTGAACACAAGCACTACGTTTAAGCTGAAGTTGTATTTCTTTTCCCACTAGATTTTTCCCTGCTCATTAGTTCAGCTCTTTATAAGTTGTAGAAAGAAAAAAGGCTCAAGTAGCCAGAATTATTGCCCTGTTCAAATGCCGCTTTTCTAAATCTATTTCTACTATAGTTTACTCTCTTTTGGAGCTAAGAGGAGAATAAAATCATGGAGACATTTTCTCCTGGACCAATATGACAGTTCTCATACAAAAAAAAGATCTGCAAAATAGTCTCATACATTGATAGAAGTGTTTGCCTTTGAATTTAGGTGGGTTTGAAGCAGATGTGCAGTGCTGCCTGATGATATGAGTATATGGTAGGAAGGACAGGTTGGTAAGAAAAACGAATACTTTGGTCACTGGAAAAGTCAGGTATTTAGCCACCTTTTTACAAAGATACTTGTTCAATGCTTCCTGTTCTCCCAAGTTGGTTTTCAGACGTAACTGGTGAAAACATTTATTTAGTGCTGCAATTGCACTTTACTGGAGTAAGTATCAGGTATGTTGGAAAAGAACTATTTTATTAGGATCTGATTGGAGTCTTTCCTGGCTGCACTTATTCTTTTTTATTACAGCTAATAGATTAGAGCCGAATAATCTTTTGATTATCCCAATATCAGTTTATTTTCTTGTTCAGGATGGAGATGATTTGATTTCTTCTTCATCCTTTTTCTGAATAAAGCTATTTTGCCACAAATGACCATGGGAAAAATAAGACAATGTGTACTTAGACTCTTTCCTTCTAACTTCTCTGGAACTGGAATTGACAATGGGCAAATTAAAAGAAGTATTAAGCATCAATCCCGCAGCCTCAGTCAACCATAAGCAATAAAGGACCGAACTTGCAAAAGAGAAACTCTTACAGTATTTGTTCAACAGGGCTTATTCTTATTGAACCATCTAGGAATAGGAAATGACGTTTCTGGACAATACAGACTACTTCTGTTTTTAATTTCTGTTCTGAAACTTCTGTTTTTAGTTTCACAGGCAATTACAGAATAGCAATGCTCCAGCAGTGCTAAAGGGCCTAGCATGACAACTTAAATCTGTCCTACCAGATTCCTTTCCAATCTTTTTCAAACCTGTTCCTCAAAAGGAAGGAGATTACAGGCAAGTTTGGGCTGTGGCTGGAAGTTTCAGGGGGGGAAATGGCGAGAACTCATAGCAAAGTTTCACACAAAGGCACATATTGTGGGTCTGATTCCAGAGACCTTTTATTACACTGTCAAAAGTTTCCCAAAGATTAAATTAATCTTTACTGTACACTCTGGCAGATATTCCGTTCAGACGTGGCATTTTGTTCTACAGCACAGTTACAGAACAGGATTTCTTCTACGTTTTCAGCTGCATAGTTGTTACCACTGTTGTATATAGTCCAAAGACTGGAAGAGAAAATACAGCCGATTGGTTCCTAATCCCCCCGAAGCCATACTTTATAGTTAGAACATGTTGGAAGAATGCTTTGGAAGATGGAGAAAGCATGCCAGTCAGAGGAACAAAATGGTAATGGGCCCCAGAGTCACAGAGAACCAAGCCACAGAGAATGCCAGAAGCCTTACAGAGAACAGAGTAGATAAAGGAGAACGGCCTTTCACAGCTAACTGCACTAATGTCCTACCTAAAGGTTCAACCCAGAAAAATCTATTGAGCCCTACAGCACCATCTCTCATTCTGAGGCAAATGGACTGGCAAGAACGTGCCTTTTGTTCCCATTGCCTTGACTTCTCAAGGGTTCAAGATGCATTTAAAATTTCAGCCAGGGTTCTGCTATGAAGTGGGTCCAGAAGATTGTGGGCACCATTCTAGAGGAAAAAGTCTCAAAGCAGAGGGACAACAGGGAAGCAGGCATGTTCCTTTTATCTGGGAGGTGAAGGGTCATAAAGGAAGCTGAATCTCTGGGTTGTCCAATAGCTTTTTTTGGGGGGGGGGGCAACATTCCTGAGCTAAACTGGAATGGGTCTCATATGAGCACTGGAGTCTCCAGCAGCAGACACATTTTCCATACAGGAAAAAAAGTATCCTTTATCCGTAACTTTTATTTTACTTACCGTATATCTCCTCATCAGTTTACCACTTTGATTTGGAACATGCTCTGTATTGCATTGGCAATGCTCCTGCATGATCTCTGCAAGAAATGAGGAGTGAATTTAATTGGAGGCTGTGGACTATGTAACAGATCATTCTATGATTACTACAAATCTTTCATATGCAGGTGACCACATTGAAAATAATGATGCTTAGAGGTGGGTGGGGGGAAAGATTATTTACAGTTCAGAGAATGCAGTTTTAGGCAGATGTAACCTGTAGCATCTCTCTGAGAGTCTAATTGTCTAAGCTAGCAGAACTATCTTCTAGAACTCTGCCATTCTCTTTTAAGTTAGTTTACCCATCCCTAACAGCATAGTGATGATGATGATAGAGGTTTCCTTGCACATCTGTTGTAAAGGTAAGTTCAGTGCAAACCATTCAGTGCAAACATATCTGTCAGAGCCAGCTTGGTGTAGTGGTTAAAGGCACTAGGTTAGAAACCAGGAGATTGTGAGTTCTAGTCGTGCCTTAGACATGAAGAGAGCTAGGTGACTTTGGGCCAGTCACTTCCTCTCAGCCTTAAGAAAGAGGCAAACCACTTCCAAAAATGTTGCCAAGAAAACTGCATGGACTTGTCCAGGCAGTTGCCAAGAATCAAGACTGACTTGAAGACACCTAAATAAATAAAAAATCAGAGCATCGTGGATCAGCCTCATCTTTCAACTATCCAAGAATTAAGGTTCTCTTACAAAAAGATGCTTGATGTTCACATGCCTTGCTTATAGTTTATCAAAACTAAATTTCCTGGGTTTGTACAACTTACTATACTCCATAACATGATCTCACAATGGATTCACTAAACATGCTAAGTTAAAATGTGGTTCTCTAATTTATGGATCACTGTATTGTATAAACTCAACCAAAGGGCTGCACTGTTAGTTGTGTTTAGCTAATTGATCTCAGTGAACCAAGACTGTCTTTTCACTTCACTAATGGGAAATAAGTTTATTAACTCAATCTTGCTCCAACTTATAATTTTCAATTAAAATAAAATACTAGTTTTGTGTTTTCATATAAAATATCTAAGGCCTAGATAATATAGTACTTCTAATTGTTTTGAAATACAACTTCCGTAATCCTTGTGTACTTGTCTGGAGTTTATGGGAATGCTAGTCCAGATCATGTGGAGAGCAATATTTGAGTGTTTATTTTTCAGTATCATTTTGCAGTACTTAACTGTGGAGAAGACGCTTCTGCCATCAAGAACAGCAAGGTAGCTCACCAGAAGTTTTGAACTATAACTCTACCACCCATTGCTGTTGGCATTGCTGGTTGTGGCAGAGGGAGCTGGAATCTACAACCTCCAGAGGCACTATATTATTTAAACCAGGTGTGCAGGTATCTCACTCTTGTATTTGTGTTGTACAAGCTCTTCCTTTCCTGCAATGTGTCAGTGTTCAGACTTAGGTATGAGAGACTATACACCTAATAATTCTTGTTAGTATAAATCTCACAGAGTAACTACTTCGTAGTACAGTAAAACCATGTAATATGGCCTCTTGTTTTAGAAAAGGTTGCTGGCTAACTTGCTGCCTTGGAAAATTTTATGCAGAAGCCTCCAGTGAAAGTGGTTGGTAAGATTTACTAACAGTTTATAGTCTATGGAAATTAAAGTAGCTTTGCATTTGCTATAGTCTTGAAGAGAGCTATCAAAATAACAATTTTGAGTAACCCTCTCTTATAACTTGAAGAAGTACCTTCTAGAGGGCAATTCATACACCTCAAATGCAGTTATTATCTACATTGTACCAAATAAATGAAACGGGTACAAATGTTAAACAACTAGCTTTCTGACATTTGTCTTGCCATCAGCTTTTTAACATTTAACATTTAAACTCCATTGGGGGGAGATGGGCGGGGACAAGTTTAATAAATAAATAAATAAATAGTTCTAAAAAGTACTTTTTGCTTCTCCACTGATCCTACACTGTACTGAAAATGGTGTAGATCCTATAGCAATCTGACCTGTTCTTCAGCATTACCCCAACATTTGCTGGATTTTTGGATTATTCTGATTAGCTTTTGTAACTACTACCCTACAGTTCAGCTCATTTATTTATCGGGGTCAATTCCTAAAAAGATAGGCACTGAGACTTTATCCTTTGTGAAACCACCTGAGGGTGTAGATTAAATCAGTTGTAGGTAATCAGGCCTAGGTGGTCAATACTGGCATACTGCAAAATAAATAACATCACCTTTATAGGACCACCACTGAGTCTCATTTCAGTCTCATTGGGACAGTAGAATACGTGGTTGGATATATTGGTTGGATAGTATTTCTTCTGATAAATGCACATTCAGTATTTGGCTATGCCCCCAGATAACTCTATTTGAAGTGTCCCCAGCACAAGTTGTCAAAATTCCAAAAGCGCCCCTGGCCCCAAACGTTTGCCTGTCCTTGCTGTACACTGAAAACCTATTCCAGCCTCCCCCATTCTCCAGACATGGGACAAAACCCATGTCATTCCAAACCAGCACACCATCAATCACCCTGGCTGGGGAGGACAGATGTTATGGTCTACCACATCTGCAGGACACTAGGTTGAGGAAAACTAATTTACTTCACAGTTGCATCATTTTTCAAAACAGGTCCCAGGGTGAAATCAAATTCAAGTCAATGTCATTTGAAAGACCTCTTCATAACCTGTTTAATGCAGCCACCATTGATTATATGTGTTTGTTCTACCCAGGATCATGGCAGGTCAAAAAATTGCTGTTTGAATTCCTTGAATATTACTTTCCCAAGGCTTCACCAAAAGGGTAGCAGATTTTGCCAGATGCTAGGGCTATCTATCTATCTATCTATCTATCTATCTATCTATCTATCTATCTATCTATCTATCTGGAGGTAAATACAAGAGGTGCTTGCTGATATATATATATATATAAATAAAAAAAACAGTCTCTTCCCTTTAGTGACATGTTTTAGACCCCACCCCACCTCCTTTACCTTTTTGTGGTAGCTCCCGAGACCTCATGTTGTAGCACAAAGTGGTGGATGGATTTTGTCTGCTCTCCCTTGAAACTTGTTGCTGACTTTCTTCTGAGATTCTGCTCTCCTGTGTGTCGTTGTACCCCCCCCCCAACACACATGCATGTGAATTGAGAAATTACATTCCCTGGCAAATGTCTGTTCAGTTTAAGTTTGTGAAATCCAACAACAGCCTTCCTGGTGCCCAGGATGAAACTTGCCCACAAGTGGCTGCAAGTCAAAAAAGTTAAGATGGCAATTTTGACTGTCTAATTATAGCTGCTCTCTTGACTTTATTGACCCTCTCCCACTGGATAATGCCCCTCTGCCTGCCAGGATCTGTCCCCTGATTCTTTTAATTTAAAAATGAAAATCTGGAATGCTGTAAATTAAACATCTCACAGAAACTCGGGCACTAGAGAGCATCCTGGAGAGAGGTGGAGAAGCAGACAAGACAGCGACCTTATCAATTTGCCTCCTGATAAATTCTATTTTTTTTAACTGGCCATGAGATACAATCAATCCTGCAGGCATTAGTGACACTACTCAAAACGTGTTGAAATTCAGATATATCCAATAGTTTTTAAAAAGTTGCCTACTTCTGGTATACAGGTAGTCCCCGGGTTACAGACGACCCATAGTTAAGAACAGAACCTATTGTAGCAAAATTCAAGTTAAATACACAATGATTTGAGTTCATTACACAATACCACTTACACACTTCTACAATAATACTGTTCCGGCTTATATACAAATTCAACTTAAGGACAGACCTTGGGAACAGAACTCCTTCTTAAACTGAGGACTACCTGTACTTGTTTTCCATCTCAAGTCTCCTATTGGTGAATCCTTCCTACCCCGCCTTTTGGCTCCCTCCATCCTTTCCATCTCCTGGAAGTCAATTGTTTTCCACTTGCCCATCTCTGTTCTGCTGCTGGTTAGCTCAATCTATACTGTAGCTTCCTTTTTTTCCTTTACTTTGATGGATAAGTAGCTTTATTGTGCATGCTATAAGAACAGATGAGTGAATTTTTTCTTGCTACTTTTTCTGAAATTATTCTGTTTTCTGCATTCCATGTGTTCCATTATTCTTCCTTAGTGTGTCCCCACTTCCTCATTTGTTTACCCTATGGCTTTTGATGATATTTCTTCTCCCTTTGGCGCCTGCCACCCAACTTTTCTTTTAGCCCCTCTGCCTTCAGGATAAACATCTGGTGCTCCCCACAGGTATAAGTCCACATATTTGAAGACCTCCAAGTTGGGTTGTGCTGGCAATGGCAGCCAGTCTCCAGGGCAAACATGTCAGGAGTCTTTCCCAGCCCACATCCAAAAATGCCAGGAAAAAAATCCAAAAAATTCCAGGCCTGCCATGAGCAAAGCACATGTACTTTGCTTTGGAGAGAGAAAAGGCTTTTCACATCCTAGAATCACAGGAGAAGCCACTAAAAATCCTTGGCATGCCTGGGCTTCTCCAGATACTACTGTAAGTCAGACTAAGCCTTTCCCCACTCGCACCTAACCAAGGTGCAAATGTGTCCTGGTAACATTTTTTTCTGCCATATTCCCACGATGTTGCCTTAGTTTCATCCTTAGCCTCAGGTCATCTGTACAACTACTAAAGTATTTCCTCCTTACTCTGACCAGGGCAGCTTCAAAGTATGTAAAACTGGTCAGGCTTTGTCACTTATTATCTTGGAAGGAAATCCGGTGACTGTAAACAAAGCAATAGGGACAGGTGAGAAGCAATCTGCATGGGGTTAGCAAATGTCATGCTGGTTTTGTTTCCTGCCACAACCCAAGTGTGGATAGAAAACACCAACTCAGCACAGTACTCTGTGGGGTGGGGGGAGGGTTAGTGAGCAATTAGTCTTATCAGCCAAAACACTTTATGCAGTTATTCTGCCTTTTTCTTCATAAACATACTTTCTGATTAAAGAAGAAGAACAGCATAGGTGATAAGAAAAGATGGGAAAGTTGTTCTTTTCTGGGTCTCTTGAGGTCAGGCGACTACAAAATACAATAAAAGCCTGGGCCACAAGCACCCAGTCTTAAGACAGGGCAATTTCTATGGAGGCAGTCCCCCTGCTTAGGTTTGTTCCACGTGGAAGGTGAAGAAATGTACTATGGTTCACCTATCTTAGCGCCTTCTAGGAACGTTAGCCTACGCACTTCGGGAGTTACAGTCCCACAAACTTGGAGGTCACCACGCTTAAAAAGATGTATGGCCTCCAATGATCAGAAGTTCCGGGGTAGGTCTTTTTTTTAAGACTACAATTCACGAAAGCTCCTACTTCAGTTAATGTGTTAGCCTTTAACAGCAAATCTCTTCATTCAAGAGAGGACTCCGCAGTCCTTTCCAGTGCTCCCCTAATCGCTATTCCGTGCCGGCCTCCATTTTCTCTCACTTTTGCCAATATTCGCCCCCTCCATTTTGCTCCGCCTCTACCTAACCCTCCTTCCCGCCCCCACCACGGCGTTAGCTGCCCCTTTATCAGCGCTGGACTTTCTCCCACTCCGACCACCTGCATCAGCCGTAGCCGGTTCTCCATCAGTATCTGCCTGCGGCGCGCTTCCCAGTGGTGGGCAGCCATTCTGCCGCCCGCTCCTCGGTGGCAAGAAACCGCAGCCGTGCCGCCAGGGAGGCCCGGCGGGTGAAGACTCACAATGCCCCGATGCCTGGCAACTCAAGAGACGCCAGCCGCTCCCCCCTGCGCGTGGCTCTGTTGGCCACCAGAGGGCAGCGAAAAGCAAAAGCTGCTCTCCGGGTTTTCCTTGTAAAGCGGCGCGGCGGGGGGACAGGCAGCATTTTGGAAACCCCCGCTGCCTCCCTCCGGCGGGCCGTGGAGATCTTAGAAGTCCCGATCGACTTCGAGGGGAGACCGCGCGCTTACTGGCGAAGCAAGCTCCTCTTCCGAAGGTTCTGCCTAGCTGCAAGTCTCTACTCTGGAGTTAACAGCAGTGCGCCCGGTGTAGCATCACTGCTGCTTTAAAAACATGGGTCGAGTAAGGATATTTAAACTTCCGACCCAGTTTGCTGGGGAAGGAGCGATGACTATGGTTGCTCAGGAGAAAGAATAAGGTATTTTGCCCATATCCAGAACAAGGACCTGTTTTTTGGAGCGCTAGAGTGAATGGTGATTCCTCCTGAGCCTGGTCGTATGAAGGAGGCTTGTGAGCCCTTGTCCCCAGATAGTGGTGACAGTTAGGGAAGCCCTGGGGTGCCTCCGATGACAATTTGTTGCGAAGTAGAAAAGTGCAGACCTAAGTTTGCTTATGAACTTCTTCATACAAAAACAGAGCCCCGTGGGCTTTTCTAGTTTACCATTTGTGCGAACCCAGCCCATTAGGCTGTAAACCGCGGTTTATGGGCAATGTTATGCAAACACACCCCTTTGACTTAGAATGGCTGGTCCCTAATTTCAGGTTTGGGAGAGCGATTTCCCAGGGAGGAAGCCTGTGCTCTGCCTGTGCTCTGGAGTGCTCTCTCCATCCTGATTTCATGTCTTCCAGAAGCGAGTAGGGCTCAGCGTGCTCCAGAACCGCGACTTTTCGAAGTAAAACGGACAGTGAATGTCCTAAGTAGTAAATGTAAGGCTGATGGAGAAAATAAATTTTGCCCATTTGCCTCGGGGCACGCTGTGGCGTCATTTTGCTCTTTCGCATAACCCTGGGCTAAGGTACAGAACTGCGGAGCGAGAAAGGAGACCACGCTCCAGACGTGCATCAAGCGCTCGCTCACCCTTTCAAGCAAGTCCCGGAGCGAGCTTTGAGAGCGCGGCAGGCGCGGGAACTCTCGCGAGCCTTTGGTTGGTCCTCACCTGCTCCCGCCTCTGCCAAGGCTCCGCCCCTTTGCAGCCCTCCACGCTCCAGGCGGGTGCTGACTGGTGCCGAAGGAGCCGCGCCTCCCTTTCGGCGAGCGCTGCTCCTCCTTCGGTAGGCGGCGGCCGGGCGCGCGGAGAGTTTCTGCAGTGGCGGCTGGGAGTTCGCGGGCTGCGGTCGCTCGGTTGCCAGCTTGGATCCGCAATGGAGGTAAAATTCCCGCTAGTTCTCGTTAGGCAGATCTGAGTTTTGCTCTGGGTCTCGGCGCCTGTTTTAAGTGCTAATTTAATTTGATGTTAGACATCTAAAGACCGAGTAAGTGAAAAGCTCGCCGAGTATGCGAGGAGTTCTCTCTCTCTCTCTCTCTCTCCGTGGAGTGATTACAGAGCATTGCACCCCTTCCCCCGCCCCGTGGTTGGGATCCAGATCAAAGAGTGGTGCTTGTAAGCGGGCTCAGCTCTTTTCGGCTGTTCAGATTCTCTAAAGAAAATGGGTGGCTCGGAGATAAAAGATTTGTAGCGCGCGCGGGGTCCCTGGTCGCCTGCCTGGCATGCTAGAAGCCGCTCTGCGCGATTTTCGGCAACGTCAGTTCTCAATAGTTTAATTACAGAGGCCACAAAACGACTCCCCCCCCCCTTTTTTTTTCTGGCATCATAGGA